CCCGCCCTCTTCTTCCTGGCGCCGCCGCCGCCGCCGCAGCGGCAGCGGACACCGCCGCCGCCGTCTCCTCGCGCCTCCGGCATCAAGTATTGAATAGTTAATTTCCATTCAAATGCATGCACCGTTATGGAGGCAAAGAGTATGTAATATGCAACGCCGCCCTACCTACGCTACGGAATAAGCGACTCAGCAACAATGGCCAGCAGTGGCGGGCACGTAGCGCGCGGAGCGCTCGCCGGGGGAACTAATGTGACAATTTGGACGTAAAGCCCGGATAAAGACTGCGTGCAGGAGGTGGCGACGCAGCAACGGCGGGGACGGAGGGGCCAGCGGGAGCGGCGGGGCCGGGGCGGGAGACGCGCTCAACCAGGAAGGCAGACGGCTGCGGCGGACGCGCCCGTCCGCCCCGCCCCTCCTCGCTCCGCCTCCCACGCCCCGTAAGCGAGTGAGCGCTGGCGAAAGTCCGCTCCCGGAGAATGTTCTGCGAATATGTACGGCACTGCATATTTCCGTCGCTGGAATGGTGTGAGTGATGGCAGCATTTCTGATTTGGCCGCTCGTGTTCCAGGAGATGATGCTGTGAGGCAGGTGTTGTGTGTTTCCCAGCAGGCACTCTTGCAAGCGCGAACCTCAGGGTGTATGAATTCACTAACATAATAATGAGAACACTTCACGCTACGAAGGATATAGAATGTGCACTCATCTCTCAAGCTCTGAACTGTAGTAAAATTTATTAAACAACGAAACAATTGTATGCAGTATTATGATAGAAACTATTTATACATTTCGGACAACTTCATCACTCAAAAAATATTAAATTGTAATGTCTCTTCTTCTAATGGACTGTATGCGTTTTTTGTTTTGCTCCCCCAAATACGCACTCTGTTCAGTTCATAAATTCGTCACTTATGATATGCCTTTGAAGTGTTCGCAAAAACGCAGATGCATAGTAAAATAAAATATAGATAACGAAATTATTTATCATCAATTTTTTTTGCGAAAATAATTTTTATTTGTTTATATCTGAAGTGACGATTAAAATATCTTATGCCTCTTCCACTCATGATTCTGCATTTGAACTTAATGTGATGACCGCGTAAGAAATTTATTTTAACTTAGTACACGTGCCGAATACACAATTATCTTGTCAATGTATTTGTACTATATTATAACTAAAAAGCAATGTTAATAACTCCTGAGCATCTCATTTTGGAACTTACTATTATATCTGAATATTAACCAACACCAATTTTTGTCTCTTGGGCACAGATTCCGAGGTTTCCTTAGCAACGCCTCCCCTTACTGTCCAAGATCTGATAGCAGGGGGAAGGGAAAAGAAACTTCCTTGAAAGTTTGCTTAACACGAAAGTCTCTGCAGACCCAAAGAAAAGTGGATCAACTCACTCAGCCAAGGGCAACAATACCGGAATGTTGGCGTAGGTGCCTCTGAACGTTTCAATGCAGATATTCACAAAACAATTTTCCGATCATTTTATTGGTACATTTGTAAAATGCAAACAATTGATTATTTATAACATAAATTGTAATATATTTATTGGTTTTGAAATTATTGCTATGAAAATAATTATGTTGACTGTATGAAGGATAATGAAAATATTTCAGTAAAAATTGAAGTTAGGTTACTTTTTCATTGGAATTAAAAATGAGTCAGCCACGAGAAAACTCATGACTTCATCACATTTGTGGAAAAATACTGTAATATTAAGAGCCCGCTCCGCCACGGCGCTGCGCTCCGCCCAATGGCGCCGCGCGCCCCGGTCCGCCCCTGCCCCCCCCGCCAGCCCCGCCCCGCTGCCGGCAAGTTTCCCGACTGGGCGCTTCCGCGCCACTGCGACTTCGCGTTTTCTTCCGACTGCGCGCTGGAATGCTGCGGCGCACTTTTAATGGGCTCTACCAGAGAAATGCGGCAGGAACAATCATGAAGTTGGCGGCCGCGCATGCAGTAATTAATATCCATAGCATGTAGTGCGATGGAGTAAATTTGGTAAACATTTATTTTTTGTTACTTTGTAAGGAATTAAATAATGCAAGTTTGTTTTGGCATTAATACATTCCACCAAAAATAAGACAAAAACAACTTTGAATTCATTCGAACTTTTTGAAGCAGTAATTTACCAATTTTTATTTTTTTAAAAAGAAATTCATAAAATATTTCTTTCCCGTCTTTAATATTTTATAATTTTATTTTATCCCTTTCCCACACTTATACTGCAAA